TCCACATCTCTCCACCTCCCCCCTCCTCTCTCCACCTCTCTCCAGTCCGTCTGTATCTCCCTCTGCTCCTCCACCTCTCTCCTCTCTCAGTAGTTCCATTCCTGGCTCTCCTCCCTCAGGCCTCCTCAGGGTCAGCCTCCGCCTCCGCACGACCACGGTTGGAAAAAGACGTTCCCACGCTCTTTAGCTTCCGGCTTGAAAAGACTCCATCCCACCTCCTCCTCTCCCTGTGTTCTTGTACAGTCTGACAGCGCCTCCTCCTCCTCTCCCTGTGTTCTTGTACAGTCTGACAGCGCCTCCTCCTCCTCTCCCTGTGTTCTTGTACAGTCTGACAGCGCCTCCTCTCCCTGTGTTCTTGTACAGTCTGATAGCGGCTCCTCCTCCTCTCCCTCTGTTCTTATACAGTCTGACAGCGGCTCCTCCTCTCCCTGTGTTCTTGTACAGTCTGACAGCGCCTCCTCCTCCTCTCCCTGTGTTCTTGTACAGTCTGACAGCGCCTCCTCCTCCTCTCCCTGTGTTCTCATACAGTCTGACAGCGTCTCCTCCTCTCCCTGTGTTCTTGTACAGTCTGACAGCGCCTCCTCCTCCTCTCCCTGTGTTCTTGTACAGTCTGACAGCGCCTCCTCCTGCTCTCCCTGTGTTCTTGTACAGTCTGACAGTGGCGCCTCCTCCTCTCCCTGTGTTCTTGTACAGTCTGACAGCTCCTCCTCCTCTCCCTGTGTTCTTGTACAGTCTGACAGTGGCGCCTCCTCCTCTCCCTGTGTTCTTGTACAGTCTGACAGCGCCTCCTCCTCATCTCCCTGTGTTCTTGTACAGTCTTTCCAGCGCCTCCTCCTCCTCTCCCTGTGTTCTTGTACAGTCTGATAGCAGCTCCTCCTCCTCTCCCTGTGTTCTTGTACAGTTTGACAGCGCCTCCTCCTCTCCCTGTGTTCTTATACAGTCTGACAGCGGCTCCTCCTCTCCCTGTGTTCTTGTACAGTCTGACAGCGCCTCCTCCTCCTCTCCCTGTGTTCTTGCACAGTCTGACAGCTCCTCCTCCTCTCCCTGTGTTCTTGTACAGTCTGACAGTGGCGCCTCCTCCTCTCCCTGTGTTCTTGTACAGTCTGACAGCTCCTCCTCCTCTCCCTGTGTTCTTGTACAGTCTGACAGTGGCGCCTCCTCCTCTCCCTGTTTTCTTGTGCAGTCTGACAGCGGCTCCTCCTCCTCTCCCTGTGTTCTTGTACAGTCTGACAGCGGCTCCTCCTCTCCCTGTGTTCTTGTACAGTCTGACAGCGGCTCCTCCTCTCCCTGTGTTCTTGTACAGTCTGATAGCGCCTCCTCCTCCTCTCCCTGTGTTCTTGTACAGTCTGACAGCGGATCCTCCTCCTCTCCCTGTGTTCTTGTACAGTCTGACAGCAGCGGCTCCTCCTCCTCTCCCTGTGTTCTTGTACAGTCTGACAGCGCCTCCTCCTCCTCTCCCTGTGTTCTTGTACAGTCTGACAGCGGCTACTCCTCCTCTCCCTGTGTTCTTGTACAGTCTGACAGTGGCGCCTCCTCCTCTCCCTGTGTTCTTGTGCAGTCTGACAGCGGCTCCTCCTCCTCTCCCCGTGTTCTTGTACAGTCTGACAGCGGCTCCTCCTCCTCTCCCTGTGTTCTTGTACAGTCTGACAGTGCCTCCTCCTCCTCTCCCTGTGTTCTTGTACAGTCTGACAGTGGCTCCTTCTCCTCTCCCTGTGTTCTTGTACAGTCTGACAGCGCCTCCTCCTCCTCTCCCTGTGTTGCTGTTTCTTGGCTGTCACTTGTCGTCCTGTCTCCTTTCCCTGGTTCGGCTGCTCAGTTTCTGTCTCCAGGATAAACTATCTCTCCATCTTTCTATTTCTCTCTCTATCTTTTCATCTCTCTCTTTATCTCTGTCTATATTTATCTCTCTTTGTATCTATCTCTATATATCTATCCATCTACAGTATCTATCTACAGTGCCTTGCAAAAGTATTCACCCCCTTGGCTTTTTACCTATAGGGTAAAAATAATAAACATGCAGCTTAAGCGGAGGTTCAGGATGGTAGACTACCTACGTTATCACACCAGGCTTGACCACGCCTTACTCAGCCTGTCTTAATCAACTCCCCGCAGCCGTGTCAATCAAGCCAGCGTTTAAGAGCAAAGCAGAGCACAGCTCACCAAACGGACGTCAAGCTGCAATGGGTTGCTCTTCGTCACTTTGTTTACTCACGCCTTGCACGATTGTTCGTCCTGCATGGTCGCGGCTTTTCTTCCACATCACATGTTGGGGGCTGTGCGCCATGGTCGCTGTGTCTCCACCGCGGGTCCTCTCCTGCGGACTCGCTGCCGCTCGTCTCCCCGCGGCCGCTGCTGCTCGCGGCCAGGCGTTACATTCTGCCGCTTCCGTACCGGGCACGGGACTTCTGTCTGCCTGCCGCTGTCTGCCTGCCGCTGTCTGCCTGCCGCTGTCTGCCTGCCGCTGTCTGCCTGCCGCTGTCTGCCTGCCGCTGTCTGCCTGCCGCTGTCTGCCTGCCGCTGTCCACCCTTCTCCCTGCCTCCACTCACGGTACAGTGTCGGTTCCGTTGTTTTCCGCACTACCAGGAACCGTACTGTACTGCGGCTTGTCAGTTAATCCCGTCGTTTTACCATCTGCATTGGCATTTAGACCGTCCGTTTTCACCATGGACCGCACATTTTAACCACTGCATTGACCTCCAGGCTGTCAGTTGTTACCATGGACTATAAATGTTATCATCTGCATTGGCTTTCGAGCTGTCTATTTTGACCGTGGACTGTAAGTTTTGCCAACTGCATTGCCTCCAGGCTGTCCGTGTCTGATGAGCTGCTCTGATTGGACTTCAACGCCACACTTCACCGCCACACTTCAACGCCACACTTCGACGCCCACACGCTTCGCCGCCGCCACGTTGGTGGCCGCACGCTTTGACGCCGCCACGTCGGTGGCCGCACGCTTCGACGCCGCCACGTCGGTGGCCGCACACTTTGACGACGCCACTTTTCGACGACTCCTCCACGCTTCGACGACTCGTGCGCGTGCCAACGCCTAGTGCTAGAGCCGAGCTCGCACGGACATTACGCTGCGCACTCGAGCCGAGCTTGTGCACCCAGGCTCAGATCTCTTCAGAGCACGGCCACAGCCGGGGCCTAAGCTCCAAACCAATAAACAAACTCAATCCATAAAATAAACAACTCTTAAACGCATCTCGTCTCTTGTAGTCTCCAGGTTGAATGGACATTGGCATGTGCATATGTAATCACCCCATTTGTGATGAAGCCCATAAAAAGCTCTGGTGCAACCAATTACCTTCAGAAGTCACATAAATAGTGGAATGATGTCCACCTGTGTGCAATCTAAGTGTCACATGATCTGTCCGTACATACACACACCTTTAAGTGTCACATGATCTGTCCGTACATACACACACCTTTAAGTGTCACATGATCTGTCGTACATACACACACCTTTTAGAAAGGCCTCAGAGGCTGCAACACCGAAACAAGAGGCACCACTGACCAAACACTGAGCTAAACCTGTACCACTCTGTGCGTGATTTGAGACTAGGACGGAGTTTCACCTTCCAGCAGGACAATGTCCCCAAACACACTGCTAAAGCAACACTTCAGTGGTTTAAGAGGAAACATGTGAATGTGTTGGAATGGCCGAGTCAAAGCCCAGACCTCAGTCCAATAGAAAATCTGTGTCAGACTTAAAGATTGCTGTTCTCAAGCGCAAACCATCCAACTTGAAGGAGCTGGAGCATTTTGCAAGGAGGAATGGGCAAACAGCCCAGTGGTAAGATGTGGCAAGCTCATAGAGACTTATCCAAAGCGACTTGGCTCTACAAAGTATTGACTTTAGGGGGGTGAATAATTATGCACATCGACCTTTTCTGTTATTTTGTCCTATTTGTTGTTTGCTTCACAATAAAAAAAGACAACATCTTCAAAGTTGTGGCATGTTCCGTTGTAAATTAACTGATGCAAATTTGTAAGACACTGAATCTACTGTGTGTCCCAGAGCCTCATGCTGCTAATGCACAGATGTAAACAACTCTGAATTTAGTGCCCACAGGGACTCTTAAAAAACGTTGTTGATGATATTGTGTTAAAATATTGATTTATTTATGAGCATGTTCGGGAGAAAAGTGTGTAAGTAAGTAAGTAAGTAAGTAAGTAAGCTTTATTTATATACCGCCTTTCACAGACCAGAGTCACAAAGCAGTTTACAATTGTTATTTTTTTTTGGGGCATTTGTCTCTCACTCCACACAGAGATGGGAGCGGGGTGTAATTTGCATTGTGGAGATAATATTTGCTAAAGTACTATAGTAAAGTGTAAAATCGGTGCATTTAAAATTTAGAACACACTCGGATTCTGGAATTCTGAAGTAGTTCCATTTTTTCAACGGCAACAGAATTTCCATGGCAACCGTCTCTAATGACGACATTCTATAGTGATGTCATTGCCTGATAACACCACAGACCAAGATGTTCAGGAGATGAACCCAGAAGAGAGTCCATTTACTCCGATTCGAGACGGGTTTACGGTCGAGATAAAGTTTGATACAAAACTACTCACAATAAGCCTTTCGAGTTCGCTATATTCTGTAGAGATGGAAAGTAATTACGCATCCACCATGTTTTTGCCTCAAAAGATCGACATCAGCTACAAAGATGAGGTCTGCGAGGTCTTTGAGCTAGCTAAGAAGCATGGTATGGAAATCAGGCTGTGGATGGTGCAGAAAGATGGACCAATCCATAACGCCATTTTCACATATCGTCTGACGGTCGGTGACTTTAGTGCAGACGCTAAAGGACCCACCGCTTCAGAAGCTAAACACCTTTGTGCTCAACAAGTTCTCCCAGAGCTGCGACGTCTTCCTCTTCCGTCTGACAAGAAGAAGAAGAAGAAACGCACTGGCGTCTGCTGGAGAGAACTTCCCACTTTCAAAGACGATGATAACCCCATATCTTGTCTTGATATAATCGTGGTGAACATGAAAGGGATTCCTCCAAAGTACACGATTGTGGACGTGGACAAACAGTCGAATCCTTGGATCTTCTACGTCCAGGTCACGGTGGCGGACGTGACTGCGGTGGGACTCGGCTTGGACAAGAAGGACGCTAAAAGGAATGCGGCCTCAAAAGTTCTCAACTCGTTTGGGTACAACTTTGTAGTCAAGGAGCCAGAGCCAAGACCCAAAGAAGACATCACATCTCAGCAGATAGAGACTGATGTTCTTGAGGACGTCCCCGAGGTTGATGAGACACAACAGGACCAGGAATGTTCTGTAGCTCAAGACGACTCCATCCAGACAGAGGAGACCCAGCCCCAAACAGAAGACACATCTGTGGACACATCTGCTGCTGCCCAAGACAAAGCAGCAGAGGTTTTCCTGGATGACACTGAGGAGGTTCAGACACCTCCAGAGGAGTTTGTGTTTGTGGAGTCCCCTGAAGACACTGCTACTGATGGTGTTGATCAGGCAGAACTTCTGAGGGACCAGGAACAGTCACCAGTACTCACACAGACTGTAAGTGAGGAGGTAACGGTTAGTGATGTTCCCCACACTGTCAGCACAACTCAAGAGACTGAGACTATTGAAGAGTCACAACAGGACCAGGAATGTGCTGTTGCTGAAGACTCCATCCAGACCGAGGAGATCCAGTCCCAAACAGACAACACATCTGTTTTGTCGTCTGCTGCTGCTGCTCAAGACGAAGCAGCAGAGGTTTTCTTGGATAACCTAGAGGAGGAGGTGCAGACACCTCCCGAAGAGTTTGTGTATCTAGAAACCTGCAAAGACACTGCTATTGATGGGGTTGAACAGGCAGCCCTACTCAGTGACCAGGAACAGTCACCAGTACTCGCACAGGCTGTAAGTGAGGAGGTAACGGTAACTCACGAGACTGAGACTGATGTTCATGAGGAGGTTGAAGACTCACTACAGCACCAGGAATCTTCTGTTGCTGAAGACTTCTTTCAGACAGAAGAGATCCAGTCTCCAACAGACGACACATCTGTTTTGTCTTCTGCTGCTGCTCAGGACGAAGCAGCAGAGGTTTTCTTAGATAACATCGAGGAGGAGGTTCAGACACCTCCCGAAGAGTTTGTGTATCTAGAAACCTCCGAAGACACTGATGGTGTTGCACTTCTGAGGGACCAGGAACAGTCACCAGAAGTCGCACTGACTGAAAACAAGGAGGTAACAGTTCACAAGGTCCTTGATCAGTCTGAAGATGACCACACCACAGACTTTGAAGAAACTGTTGGAACCACAGATGAAAATGGTTCGACAAGTCCTTTAGAAGACTTGACCCTGAGGGCTCAAGAGACAGTGGTCAAGGACACGGTTAGGGCTATGTCACAACCTGATATTATCACCGAGGATGTCGTTGTGTCATCGGACACGTCTACTGAACCATGTAGGATTTCTCCAACCTTCATAAGAGAGTCCTACTTCATCACCAACGCACTCACCGAAAAACTGTTCAAACTGGCTGGATCCAAAGACCACCGCAAAGCCAGTCTGATGGGAGTCCGTCTGCATCACAGAATCAAGCAGCAGCTGGAGTTAGAAGAAAACTCTCAGATGAAGATGAAGAACTCAGAGAAAATCGGTAAAGCAGCCGCCAAACGTCTCATGGTGGATTATGGATCGGCAGACGCAGTCCTGAGGGCGGCTGTGGAGGACGACACAGCTGCATTTGAAGCAGCTGCAGCGAAACATATAAACGCTGAGCTGAGATCCTTCCAGAAGCGTCCCAAGTCTGCGCTGTCACGGCTCTTCTCCAGGATGAGGAGAGCCTTCACCTTCTAAGGAGGCCCCCCCAGAGGCCCAACCCAGAGGCCCAGCCCAGAGGCCCAGCCCAGAGGCCCAGCCCAGAGGCCCAGCCCAAAGGCCCAACCCAGAGGCCCAACCCAGAGGCCCACCCCAGAGGCCCAACCCAGAGGCCCACCCCAGAGGCCCACCCCAGAGGCCCACCCCAGAGGACCAGCACCAGAGACCATTTTTGGGGAGACACACGTTGCTTTCTTGAAGATGTGTTCCCAGTGTTTTTACAGAACTTTGAATTATTTTTGAGGAGGCATACGTTGCTTTCTTGAAGATGTTCCAAGTCTTTTAACAACACTTTGAACCATTTTTGAGGAGGTCCTTGTGGCTTTCTTGAGGTTGTGTTTTCAGTGTCGGTCCTCTACTAGTTTAGGGACATAGCTCCTAAATTCTAGGCTGCTGTAATTGAATAAAGTTTATGCATAGAAATAATTTGTCATTTCATTTCATTCATTGTTCATTTGGTTTGGACACATCACTCCAGATTCTAGCCTTGGGCTAATTTCCATCCTTTGATTGAGGAAACCGGAATAAACCGAAGCACCTGGAGTAAACCGGAGAACCCGGAGTAAACCCGGAGCACCTGGAGTAAACCGCAGCACCCGGAGTAAACCGGAGCACCCGGAGGTTCATGCAGAGTCGTCACATGGTGCGTCATTTTCTCCAGGACGTGCTGCAGTGAAAATACATTGATAATCATGAATGCATGTTGTGATTGTGATACATAAGCTTAAGCAACAAAAATATTGTTTATTATTTTAATAGATCCATGAGCGAACATCATAGCGAAGCGAGTGCAGCTGCACCAGCGTGTGAGTGTAGTACTGCCCCAAACACAAACTTTACACACTTTGCACAGAGACAGCAGTGGGAACAGTTGGAGGTTCGGAGACAGGTCAGATTTGCAGAGAACAAGCCTGGAAGTAGCGCGGTGCTCCAGTACAATCGGCCCGTCTGAAACTCATCCAGTGAGAAACGTTCCGCGTCGCAAAAAGAGAGATGACGATTAAAATGCGTCAATTCTTTTTACACGCTAATTTTTGTGTAATTAATTAATCTTAACTAACGCGTTAAAGTCCCGGCCCTAATACAGACAGAATTCCATGGTTTTCAATGGGAGCCAAACGGAGTTGTCTCTGCTCGTAAGTACAGACAGTAATGTGCTGCAGTCTGTGTCTATTCTTTATGTCAAATGTGAACGGTCAGTGTCGCTAACTCACCCTCTGTTTTCATCACGGCACATGTGAGTCCAACGACCCATGAAAAGCACTAGCATACAGCGCCGCAACACATGAGTCAAGGTGCGTTCACAGACGGTAGAAACTGTGGGAATTTTTAGGATTTTTTTTAGGAGGAGGAACTTTCTCTTGTCGCGTTTCAAAAGAGAAAACAGACGTCACTCAGTTTTCAATGGAAAACAATTTCACACGTTCATTTACAGAGATGTCGTTCATGACACATAATGGGAACTAATTCACCTTCAAGTTCTTTATTAAAAAATGAGCGCGTTCTATTGAACCACACTGCTATCTGTCCATGTCCAACTGTCTGATATATGACTCTCTCTGGTCTCTCTGTGGTCTCTCTCTGGTCTCTCTCTGGTCTCTATCTGGTCTCTCTCTGGTCTCTCTCTGGTCTCTCTCTGGTCTCTCTCTGGTCTCTCTCTGGTCTCTCTCTGGTCTCTCTTTGGTCTCTCTCTGGTCTCTCCGGTCTCTCTCTGGCCTCTCTCTGGTCTCTCTCTGGTCTCTCTCTGGTCTCTCTCTGGTCTCTCTCTGGTCTCTCTCTGGTCTCTCTCTGGTCTCTCTTTGGTCTCTCTCTGGTCTCTCTCCGGTCTCTCTCTGGCCTCTCTCTGGTCTCTCTCTGGTCTCTCTCTGGTCTCTCTCTGGTCTCTCTCTGGTCTCTCTCTGGTCTCTCTCTGGTCTCTCTTTGGTCTCTCTCTGGTCTCTCCGGTCTCTCTCTGGCCTCTCTCTGGTCTCTCTCTGGTCTCTCTCTGGTCTTTCTCCGGTCTCTCTCTGGCCTCTCTCTGGTCTCTCTCTGGTCTCTCTCTGGTCTCTCTCTGGTCTCTCTTTGGTCTCTCTCTGGTCTCTCCGGTCTCTCTCTATCCTCTCTCTGGTCTCTCTCTGGTCTCTCTCTGGTCTCTCTCTGGTCTCTCTCTGGTCTCTCTCTGGTCTCTCTTTGGTCTCTCTCTGGTCTCTCTCTGGTCTCTCTCTGGTCTCTCTCCGGTCTCTCTCTGGCCTCTCTCTGGTCTCTCTCTGGTCTCTCTACTATCTATCCATATCTATAGATCTAAAGACATACATACATCCACTACATATAAGTACATACTACTACTGTTATTACTACTACTACTACTACTACTACTACTACGGTTACTACTACCAGTACTTCTACCACTACCACATAATCCAAAGTTAGCCTGAAGTCGGTGGAAAGTTACATTTTCTGAAATCAAAGACCCGCAGAATGACAAAGCATAAATCTGAAAGAAAACCTTTTGAAATAAACTTTAACATTTTCTCCGTTTCCAAATCCATTTTCTCGTCAGGAAATTCAATTAAAAATCTCGCCGTGTGTTCTTCATCACAAAAGCTTTGGTCGCAGCTGTCAGGGCCTGCGCTGCCCCCGGTGGTGGAGTGGGTTTCTGTTCCCGAACGTCCAGCGGGAGCCTCCATTATCCAATCAGCTCGCTCCTTGTGAGGAAAGGTAGCTTTTAGGTAATGTGCTATATTCAGATGGAGCCGCGGGGTTCCAGACCAGGTTCCAGACCGGATTCGAGACTGGGGTCGAGACCGGGTCCTGAGGAGTTACTTGAAACTAGACTCACATTTGAAGAGTCTAAAGCTAAAGTTTTGGTGAAGTTCTAAATGTGACTTTTACACTGGTTTTCCATCTCATCGCACTCAAGGGGTCGCTCTCTCTCTGGTCTCTCTCTGGTCTCTCTCAGGTCTCTCTCTGGTCTCTCTCTGGTCTCTCTCTGGTCTCTCTCTGGTCTCTTTCTGGTCTCTCTCTGGTTTCTCTCTGGTCTCTCTCTGGTCTCTCTCTGGTCTCTCTCAGGTCTCTCTCTGGTCTCTCTCAGGTCTCTCTCTGGTTTCTCTCTAGTCTCTCTCTGGTCTCTCTCTGGTCTCTCTCAGGTCTCTCTCTGGTCTCTCTCTGGTCTCTCTCAGGTCTCTCTCTGGTCTCTCTCTGGTCTCTCTCTGGTCTCTCTCAGGTCTCTCTCAGGTCTCTCTCTGGTCTGTCTCTGGTCTCTCTCTGGTCTCTCTCTGGTCTCTCTCTCAGGTCTCTCTCTGGTCTCTCTCAGGTCTCTCTCTGGTCTCTCTCTGGTCTCTCTCTGGTCTCTCTCTGGTCTCTCTCTGGTCTCTCTCTGGTCTCTCTCTGGTCTCTCTCTGGTCTCTCTCAGGTCTCTCTCAGGTCTCTCTCTGGTCTGTCTCTGGTCTCTCTCTGGTCTCTATGGTCTCGCTATGGTCTCTTTCTGGTCTCTCTCTGGTTTGTCTCTGGTCTCTCTCTGGTCTCTCTCTGGTCTCTCTCAGGTCTCTCTCAGGTCTCTCTCAGGTCTCTCTCTGGTTTCTCTCTAGTCTCTCTCTGGTCTCTCTCTGGTCTCTCTCAGGTCTCTCTCTGGTCTCTCTCTGGTCTCTCTCAGGTCTCTCTCTGGTCTCTCTCTGGTCTCTCTCTGGTCTCTCTCAGGTCTCTCTCAGGTCTCTCTCTGGTCTGTCTCTGGTCTCTCTCTGGTCTCTCTCTGGTCTCTCTCTCAGGTCTCTCTCTGGTCTCTCTCAGGTCTCTCTCTGGTCTCTCTCTGGTCTCTCTCTGGTCTCTCTCTGGTTTCTCTCTGGTCTCTCTCTGGTCTCTCTCTGGTCTCTCTCTGGTCTCTCTCAGGTCTCTCTCTGGTCTCTCTCAGGTCTCTCTCTGGTCTCTCTCTGGTCTCTCTCTGGTCTCTCTCAGGTCTCTCTCTGGTCTCTCTCAGGTCTCTCTCTGGTCTCTCTCTGGTCTTTTTCAGGTCTGTCTCTGGTCTCTCTCTGGTCTCTCTCAGGTCTCTCTCTGGTCTCTCTCTCTCTGGTCTCTCTCAGGTCTCTCTCTGTTCTCTCTTTCAGGTTTCTCTCTGGTCTCGAGTCTCTCTCAGGTCTCTCTCTCTGGTCATTTTCTCAGGTCTCTCTCTCTCTTGCCCGCCTCTCTCTCTGGTCTCTCTTTCTCTGGCCTCTCTCTCTGGCCTCTCTCTCTAGTCTCTCTCTCTCTTCTCTTTCTCTCTGGCCTCTCTCTCTGGTCTCTCTCTCTCTCTGGCCTCTCTCTCTGGCCTCTATCTCTCTTCTCTTTCTCTCTGGCCTCTCTCTCTCTCTAGTCTCTCTCTCTGATCTCTCTCTCTCTCTGGCCTCTCTCTCTGGTCTCTCTCTCTCTCTGGCCTCTCTCTCTCTCTGGCCTCTCTCTCTCTTCTCTTTCTCTCTGGCCTCTCTCTCTCTAGTCTCTCTCTCTGGTCTCTCTCTCTCTGGTCTCTCTCTCTAGTCTCTCTCTCGTCTCTTTCTCTCTGGTCTCTCTCTGGTCTCTCTCTGGTGTGTGCAGAGTGGCATGTACAACCATGTGTTTGTGTCCCAGAGCCTCCTGCCGCCACATGTACAGATGTAAACTTACACCTGTATATTTATGCACCAGAATATACAGGATTTTAGACTTTTTTATTTTGCTAAAGTTAGAGATTCTTTGCTTCACTATTGCTCTCTGTTCCCTCTTTCTCATGCTGCTCTCTTTCTAGTCTCATTCTCTGCTTTCTCTTTAGTCTCTCTCACTGCTCTCTCTGCTCTCTCTCTTTCTCTCTCTCTCTCTTCTCTCTCTACTCTCTCTCTTCTCTCTCTACTCTCTCTCTGCTCTCTCTCTCTATACTCTCTCTACTCTCTCTGCTCTCTCTCTGCTCTCTCTCTCTCTACTCTCCCTCTGCTCTACTCTCTCTCTGCTCTCTCTCTCTCTATACTCGCTACTCTCTCGCTCTCTGCTCTCTCTCTCTCTCTCTCTCTCTGCTCTCTCTCTCTCTACTCTCCCTCTGCTCTACTCTCTCTCTGCTCTCTCTCTCTATACTCTCTCTACTCTCTCTGCTCTCTCTCTCTATACTCTCTCTACTCTCTCTGCGCTCTCTCTCTATACTCTCTCTCTCTCTCTCTCTACTCTCTCGTTGCTCACTTGTCCTGTCCCATTACTAACCACACACCGACCTCACTTTTCACATCTCTGCTGCTAAGTGGAGTGTGTCTCCCCCCTCTCCATCCCCCCCCCCCCCCCCCCCCCCCCCCCCTCCCCCCAAACACCTCCTATGTTTCTTTTAGCGAGATCAATCTTGTTTCCACACAATTGCTCGGATTGTAATCTATTCTGGATCGTAAAAAAAAGAGAGAAAGGCGCGGAGTGGAAATAGAGTCATTCATCACGGTGTAAACAGCATAACACAAGGGCAAAGAGTCGCAGCTCCGAATCACATTAAAACAAAACGCTGCGGCTGCGGCGGCGATGCTATTGCAGACGAGAACATTCTAAAGCGGCTTCAGATCTGAGAGTGGAGCGAGAGAGCGGGAGAGCGAGAGAGCGAGAGAGCGGGAGAGCGAGAGAGCGAGGTCGCCCGCCGCCGCTCCGGAGTCAGACTCTCTCATGACATAATCAAGAGGAATAGCAGAAATATTACACACCCACAGCACAGAGCTAAGGACCACAACAACACCCAGACTGTAATGAGAGGTTTGCACTCGCTTCTCAGCAAGAAGGTCCTGGGTTTGAATCCCAATCGGTCTTTCTAATAGTCACGCTCCGAGACCAGAGAGAGAGACTGGAGAGAGAGACCGGAGAGTAAGTAAGTAAGTAAGTAAGATTTATTTATATACCGCCTTTCACAGACCAGAGTCTCAAAGCGGTTTACAATTGTTATTTTTGGGCACTTATCCTCTCACTCCTCACAGAGATGGGAGCGGGGTCGCCGAACAGGAGGCGCATGCCAGACCTATTGTACATATTTTTAGTGGTAGGGGAAACCGGAGTACCCGGAGGAAACCTACGCAGACACGGGGAGAACATGCAAACTCCACTCAGAAAGGCCCTGGTCCGGCCGGGATTTGAACCCAGGACCTTCTTGCTGAGAGGCGAGAGTGCTATCCACTCAGCCACCGTGCCGCCCACGGAGAGAGAGACCCGTGAGAGACCAGAGAGAGAGACCGGAGAGAGAGACCAGAGAGAGACCGGAGAGAGAGACCCGTGAGAGACCAGAGAGAGACCAGAGAGAGAGACCAGAGAGAGAGACCAGAGAGAGACCAGAGAGAGAGACCAGAGAGAGAGACCAGAGAGAGAGACCAGAGAGAGACCAGAGAGAGACGTAGATGAACACAGGTCGGTGTCGCTCCGAGCACCATCCAGGCCACAGTTGCATCTGTCAGCGGTGTTTGTGGAGAGACTCGGACTCGAAAGTCTGATCTCACACT